TATATTAGGATTCATGTTAGGTCTTCTCTTTCCATATTTGAACACAGATACCACCACCTTCTGGTATTGACAGGGGCAGAACATACATGATAGTCATTAACTGTAGTCTTTGTGGTGTGTTCAAGTATCACTTTTTGGTTCCAACAAAGGTGATGTGAGCTGACTCAGCAGTCAGCCTTTATTGCCCTTGTTCTCCGATGTTGACTTGTCATGTGATCAGTGACAGAGCAACAGCCCTGTGAAATCTGCTTGAGTTCACTTATGTCATGGAGTTTCAGGTGTATTTACCTGCGTCTCTGTGATTCAGATGCAGCAGGACTATCTTCAGTATGGAGTAGGTATGGGTGTGGATCAGGATAATGTCATCCTGTAAGATGGTTAAAAATGATGCTGCTGCCGCCAGCTGGATTTCACCTCCAGAACCATTCAGGACCTCCTAAGTCAGGCAAACAGGGCAAGTTACCCATGTGACATGCCTATAATACACACTGCCCTCCCTTGTCTGCCTTCGTACTGACATAAAATCTGACCGGCGTTACATACCCGGACCTTTGGTACAACCCGACGAAATGTCTCAGCTGGATTCTGGCGGACGAGACATGGCAGGTTACTGATGACACTTACTCTCTGCACCTCCTGACCCACACTGAAAATAGTATAGAAGCACAACAGGGAGCATATGTGAGAGCATTTCTAGACCAAAAAGATGAGGACCTCAAATTGAATTGAGGGACTCTAGAAGTGACACCTGAAGATACGCTATCGTATGGGGTCAACTCCATTTTTCCACTTTTTGTCATGACATTACAGACTATTTGAAGTTATGAAGGGCGCCAAGATAATCTAAGGGTGCCCAAGATTAAACATGAAATGGCTGGAAACAAGGCCATGGCCACTTTAAAAGTATATAAAGTCATTAAAATTAGCTCCACCTTTACCAGCTGCAGTGTCTCTTGTGATTAGCACAATAATGCATCAGTAATTAAAATCCAAAAATTTAAAAGTGCCAATCTGCATAATGAATACTTTTACTTTTGGTATGTTATGATAGATTTTGATGGACTTTTTTCCTAGTAGTTTTACACTGTGGTACTGCTACTTTTACTTCAGTAAACAATATTTCTTCCACCACTGTTTTTTGGTCCCTGCTGTGGGTTGCAAAGGGGAGAGGGGTGAACAAGGTAGAATAGTCGGTTGTGTTGTTATTGTTTACATTATGTCTGCAGCAGTGGAGAACAGAGTCTGTGTTGCGGCGTTGCTACCAACGAAGCCAGCGTGATCCAAAAACTGGCACAGGTATGTACCAACAGTAGAAACAAGCTGTTCTCTTTGTATTACCAGTTTGAAGTTATCCACACTTGTCTTTCAAAGCTCATTATCAAGTACATAACGCACGCAAATGAATTCCTTGTCTGAAGATGAACTAATGCTACAACCATAGAAGTACAATACAGTTCTAGTATGTGTCTGCTGTCTGTGTGCAGCACTGGCTTCACAGTTGAGTTCTGCCTTTTTCGTTCTGCCAACATTATTACAAAAGTTGATTTTTAGCATTTGTGAATCGATTTAGAATTGTAGAAGATATGAATCGCAATTCTAATGTGAATCTATTTATTTAATTTTATTTATTTATTTTTTCTCCCACACCTAACAGGAAGTGAGAGCTTTTCAGGGTTTCATCCTGTGGCAGGATAATGAGCCAAAAACACCTCCAGGCTGTGTAGAAGGACAGAAGCACTTGGTGCCCAGACTTTCCAGGTGAAGAATGAAAGCAGAGCAACCAACACATCTAATAATAATAATAATAACAATAAAACTTTATTTGTGGTTTGTTTGTTTATTTTTTCATCTGTGGGAACTTCTGTAACAGTGCTGTTTGTCCTAACAGTTGTTGCACGACACCGATAACTACTGGAAACATGGAGGTGACCCCACACTTTTGAATCCACTTAGTCTGAATCAAAATGTCTAGACACACGTAACACATTTGAGTCTCCTGTGCTATCTGTCTGGCTGTGGTTTGTACATTACGCTTCCAGCTCTGTTTTCCGAAACATGTCCAACATCAAGTACTTACGCCAGCCTTACAACTAATGACTTTTCAAGCAATTTCGTGTTGCAAACCAATTTCTAGCATTGGAATAAAATCATGAGTGTCTTGCTACAGTCACACTCGTGTCACCTCAGTCGTTTGGTATAATGTGGTGATCTGAGCTGTTTTAAGTCGGTCGTTTTCTCTTCTTGATGCTCTGATAAAATAAAACGTGTTTAATATTATGTCTTTAGTCTCAGCTCATGCAGTGACGTGAACATTGTAAAGAGATAGGTGAGCTCTCTCCAGCACCAAACAGGGCGCAGCATAGCTGGCACAGAGACACTGGTAAATACATATTATATTTTAATGGGTAAATATGACGCAGACTCCAGTGACTCTGTGCCTCTGAAGACCTGGGTCTGTTGGACCAGTTACAAAGAGAAACTGGTGGAGTGAGCAAGTGTGTCTATTTGATGTCATCCAATTTGTATCGTGACAGAGCGGAGAAATAGAAAATGTGGACAGACCTTGCTGCCCCCTTTCAGCCAACCAGGGTCATGTCCGCATTCTGCAGACATTCCAAGTAAAACACTGCACACACACCAGTGCAGCTGTAGCCAAACACAGGAGCGTATGGGAAGTCGTTTCGAGAGCATTCGAGTTCCAGTCTTGCAAATAGTGACCCTGCATGACCCCCCGTCATTGCCAAACCATAATCTGAATAAACTTGGTGATTAATGACACATTGTCTTTTAGATGTAAGAGGCTGTCAGACTTCAGTCTGTTAAAAGTCCTTTTTTAGTCTTATCATAGTCTCTTAGTGTAAGGCCAGCTTAAGATCCTGATTGGTCCAAGTTCAGGACCACTCAATCCTGCAGGTTTTAGTTGTGATTCTTTGTTGGGTTTCAGAGTCTCAGTCTAGATGTTGAATGAGTTTCATGAACTAGATTAGATCCTCTGGGATCAGATTGCAGGGTGATTACCTTCAGTGATTAATTAGTTTGAATTTAGTGGGTCATGGGGATGGAGGGTAGGTGGAGGACTGAACTACTTCTCCCTCCACCTGAGGCATCTAGACCAATGAAAGCTCTAATTTACTGTGGATTATTCTTGATTCACAAGAAAAGCTAATTAAAAACACTGAAGGCTGAAAACTTCACAGTGCACAGGTGATCTACAGCAGGTGTACTCCTGGTGTTCACAGCATCACATTATGTTGTCATTAAACGGCTCTCTAACACTGGCCTGTTTCTGAAGTGCAGCCCAGAAAGACACCCAGCCCTCACCTGAGTAGGTAAACGGCTCTCTCGATGTCATTCAGGTCTTCGTCCACAGTCAGCTGATCGATCTCCTCGGCTGTCTGACATCAAACACACAACTCACAAACTCATAGAATAAATCAGTTTTGTGTTATTTAGGTGTGTATTTTTCAGGCTGTAATGCTGTACATCATAACCGTGTAGTCGATTTATCAGAGAATAACCTGTGTGACATCACAGTTCACAGGTGTAACCCTAACCTGATCTGGTTTAGAAGCCCACAGAGCTTCGATTTGGATCTCTCACCTGTAATAAAACAACACTTTCAATCCTAAAATTCACTGACGTACTTTGTGGGGACTGTCCTGCTGTTTGGTGCAACAATACTACCTGTAATACAAGATGTACTCTGTCAGTGATGAAATCAAGTACATTTACTACAGTACTGTACTGAAGTACGATTTCAGGTACTTGTAATTTAAGAATTTTTGAGAAATTAATGAGTTTACAATCATTTTAGACAAAGAAAAAGCAGCAAATCCTCGAAAACTGGAAGTGAAGTGTTTGTATAGAACCTCGGCTTCACTTCAGGCTCCAAGTGATTCTGATGACTTTTCTCACTATTTTCTGTTTTACAAACCCATCAGTCAGTTAATCTAGAAAATAATCAGCAGATTAATCCACAATTACAATAATCATTAGTTACAGACCAGCTCCACCTCGAGTGGAGACAACAGTTCAACAAGCGACGACTCATTATTTCATACGATATCAGGCACAGCAGAAAAAAATACTTGGACTCTGAAGTTTAAAGACATTTTTCTGATAATAGCTTTTGTATTTTAACTCAAGTTGCATTATCAGTGTAGAACTTTACTTATAATAGCATTTTTACTGTGTGGTACTAGTACTGCCATTGAAGTAAAACAGTAGCATTTGACATCATCAGTCATTTGGTGAGCCATTTTCTCAGTAACTGAAAGGCAGTGTTGTTCCATCAGTCATCAGCCTTCATTTGGCATAAACAACTCTGAACTTAATGTCTGATTTCTCAGGACATATCATGTGGGGAGCTGTTGGTCAGGTGTTTTGAATGTGTAAATGAGACTGTGTCATGATAAAGTACACGTTCCTGACACTTTTCCAGGTGTGGTGGCCCTGTGCCACTGTAGACATTTAACATTGCCTGAACAACTGGACAGTGTGTGTCTGTAGGGTTGAACTAGTGAGAGAAGGAAATGAATAATTTACCACAGGCTTTTTAGCCCCCACACACACACACACACACACACACACCCCACTGAGTCATCCGTCTGTATGCGGGGAGACATCCACACACATCCGTTCTTACACACTCAGAGGTTGGTGCTCTCATCGTAAGTGGCCTACTTAGCCAGCTGTTGAGCAGTTAGCAACTCATCCCCAAAGATCCTGGGATGGAAAATGCACAGTCACACAAAGACAGAGAAGGTGTTCTCCTCATTGAGG